GTGGAGAGCCATGGACTAATTTATAAAACGAAAAGAGGACCCAAGAGCTACATATAACGCTATAATATCCACACCACCACCAGTTACTTCAATCAGATCGAAAACATTGCACGACACTGACCAACGATACTGACTATCAGCTCTCGTAAGTCTTGGATGCGCCCTCCACCAGTCTTTCTGTTTGAAAGCTTCTATTATTATTATTATTATTACTTGCATGTACGCGTTGGAGTCAACCATGCAAGCATGATCCACAACTTCGCTTATGCTGAACATGATAAACAGGACTATGACAGGGGAAAAAATGAGCTAGAACGATGATAATAATAATTATGATACTTATATCATAATATATACAATGTAGCTCATGGGTATTGAAGATATGTCATTTATGAATATGTCTATAATTATGAATATTGCAGCCTGAGTGATAATGATAGTGAAAGTTTCTAAGTAATAATAAAGTTTGCACGTCCGCGTTACCACTGGCAATACAATTCCGTTCAGAAACACAACCACTGTCAACCAGCTTAGGAATTTTCGCATGTGCCAGGCCACCACCATGCCTGTGATACCAGGGTGGTAGATGCAGCACCTAACGGCGAGGTTGAGGTGGTAAGTCTCACAACCAATGCCCGACAAGGGGGCTAACCTCGTTAGCTGCATCCATGTTACCCTCACTCCGAGTAGTGAGTACACAGTTGACCGTGGGTGTCGGCGCAGTTGACTGCATGTAAAGTGGTTCGCGAATGCATCAGCGCATTTGCTAGCACAGTACACGCTTCCTGCTCCCAGCGCGGGTCTCGAACTCGGGACCTTGTGATTTGCAGGCAAGCCCACAACCACTCGGCCAAAGCGCTGGTTTGAAAGTTTATAAGTCATGGAAAGAACATAAGGAAAGGAAGGTGACCGCAACCAAGACAAGCACATGCTGAAAGTCTCAGCTGTGAATGATCTATCTTTGAATCTTTAGAGCAACGCAAGTTGTGTGGTATGTTGCTATGCGTCCTTTTAGTGTGGTTTGACCGTTTTGTCTGATGGTCTTGCCAGTATCGTTTTCAACCTACATGTACATCCGCCAATGTCTTTGGAGTCTTATTGGATATAATAGCGTAACTTGTAGGTCTTTAGTCCTGTTTTCTCCTTACATAGACCAAATACATAAGATGAAGAGAAAACTACAAGTACAAACTCAAGCTATTCCTCGCCATCATCATCCATAAGGATTATGAAATTCATGAACCAGTTCTCGGGCATTCTCTTCAAATGAATTACAAGCAACCAGACCAAATGAAAAATAGGGAGCATCACAGGGGTGATAATCATTACACCTAGGTGACGAACTAAGCGAAGACTGTATTCACAAGAGCAGATAAAGAAGAGTGAAAGAGAACAAGAGAACGTAAGAAGTGAGACAAGAAGACCACACACTGTGTAAAATAAAACACCAAATGGACTCTACATTAACTAGTTGGGTCAGGAGTGTTAGTAAACAACTAACGTGAGAGATACACACACGGAAAGCTGGGTGTGGTCCTCGAAAGAGTGCTCAATGCACAGGGGTGCAGAGCTTCATACAAAAGAAAAGAATGGGATACGGAACTTGGGTTGGCTGTGACTTAGAGCTTCACGCCTGCGGCGATTATCAGACAGCAAAGATTACAAAAATTCAACGAATGTTCTTGATATAGTGTGGTAAGGTGCTAGTGGTATCATAAAACTTAAGCGCAAATAAAGTCAAGCGGTGATTCTATGCATATACTTGCAAGATCCGCGCCAGACATCAGGTGTAATCCTGGTTTAGGTAGCTGGAGGTGTGAAGTTAGATAGGTAGAATTTGTTCTCATGTCTGCACTTGGCTACTAGCTCCGATCGCTTGTTGATGTTCACCCTTCTGTCAGCATGCATGATCTCCAGCTTCTCACGCAGACAGAGAAGTCAGCGCTTGGTGGCATTGGAGTATGCTGGGGCTTGGGCGACAACTGACCAACTGATGCTGAACCCGGCAGTCCTGCGCTTCAGGTCCCAGATCTGCTTCGACAACTCGGTACTCTTCTCCATTCGCTTATGCCTCATTGACGTCATGTGTCCGTCGTATCACTTCTTGAACGTCATTTTCGTTAGGCCGATGTACTCTTTTCTAACTTGAGATATATTTCATTTTTCTCGCTCCACATACACCGACATAACGACATGGACCCAGACACCAGAGGCAGGAGCACACAGAGTGAAGGTAGTAGGCCGCAGCCAGATGGGAACCGGAATGCAGAAGAAAACTAGGAGCAATAACAGGGGACAGACCCCAGGAGGAAGGAATTAGTACATTCATCTAACATAAATAATCCAGGACAAGCACCACTTGGGACCGTCAGATTAATTTCTCTGGACCGAACCCGCCGGAAAAAACCCTCGCGCCGACGGACGCACGAATGAGGGAAAAAACCGGGTGTATAACCCCAAGTGGCAAGATGCCAGCATAAAAACAGGCACAACATATCTACAGCCAAGAAAGAAATGGAAAAGATTGGCAGATATGAAGGGTGGGAGAGTGGGGACACTCTTGAGACACAAAAAACTGACTGAAGGAGTCAAGCAAAAAGAACAGCAACAAAAAGAGAAAACATCAGATTCCATATTCGCAAGAAAAATAATTTTGTTGCGCGAGAAATCATTTCTCGCCTCACTCGCTTCACTCGGCCGGCGAGAAACGAGAGAGCTAGGAAGCTCAGGGCCCTACGCTATGCTTTTTTGCCTTGATGACCTAGAAAAAAAAAGCATATGGATGTTATAAATTCTTTAAAAAATCCTTTTTTTTTAAGACATAACCTGGGATTCGAACCAGCACGCATGCACCCCCCGATACACTTCGCATACATACTAATTCTTCCAAGTTGTTTCACATTGTGATCTTGCATTTGAAATCCCTATTTGAATATGCATTGTGGCCAGCTTTAATTTGGTATTTGTGTGTTTGTGTGTTTGTTTGTTTGTGTCACGCCTGGCGCTATCCGTATCTGACGGCAAAAAAGCATAGGATGTTATAAATATTTCAATTCTCCTATTTTTTCAGGCATATCCTGGGATTCGACCCCGCACTATCGCCCTACATGCATTCCCCCATACACGTAGAGGATATAACCCGAGTCAGAGGGTTATACCGGCTGAATATAAATCCCGACTGCGATAGCAGGAGGGATTTATATGAGGGTACGGTATAACCCGACTACGAGGGTCATATCCTACTTATGCCAGGTACCCCTACGCATTTCCAGAACATGACAACGAACCTATTTGGAGATCTCCTACATCATGCAGTACATGAACATCTTCTGATGGTTATCAGTTGTCAATTGAAAGAATGGTCGAGCAAGGTCAGAAGGAGATTCCTCCGTGGATGTTTGGCATAAGATTTCCTTTCAGTTCCAGTGCATATTGTAGCATCTTCATGATCTTGTCTTGAGTCGTGAGCGGTGCGGAAGTCGACTGAATTGCTGCGGTGCTGGAGTTTGCCGTTGAATCAAACTACCGTCACTAGTTAGATTACAGCTTGGACTCTTTGGGAGTAAGTGTTACTATAATTATGGTACAGTGCTGATTTTCACATGCGGCATCTCATAATCAGTTTTGCTTGCAAGAAGATGCATTTGCATACACTGTTTTGTATCACATTTCAATCCAATCTATTGTAGCCTTTTCCAATCGGGTTGAAGTACATGTACACTGGTATTATAAACTTATTTACGAAGGAGACAGTCCGTTGATGATCTTCAACTCTTCGAAGTACAATGTACATTGCTGACCCATTCGGGATACTTCGTGGTTATTCGACGTTCTTTATCCTCAGATTCAGTATAATAGAATACTCTGTAGACGAATTCCAGGTCATTCTTCTTTTCCATTGTGTACTGTTCCTCGTCAGTGTGCCGTTCTGTGTGGAGTGTACACGCGCATGTGGTGTCCGTTGTGTCTGTTTATGTATGGTCCGTGCGCTGGAGTACTGCCGCCGTACAAGTTCACTGCCTTTCAGGCAGTGAACATGTACGGTCGCAGTGCCCTAGCGTACGTACCGTGCACCGGGATTTATATTCTATATAAACGGGATTTATATTCTATATAAATCCCGCGCGGGATTTATACTGGCCAATATAACCATGGCTAGACGAGCGCTGATTGGCTGAAAACAGGCCCTCCGTACCGTACCATGGTATAATTCGCATTCATACCCATTCTTCCAAGTTGCTTCACGTTGTTATCTTGCGTTTGAAAGCCCTATTTGAATATTGCGGGCAGCTGTATGTGGCCAGCCGTCTTTGATGGTACGGTACGGTAGGGGATAGGTATGGGACAGGTACGATCGAGGGTAATAGGACACCGTCTCCCGTACCGTACCGTACCATCAAACACCGCTGGCCACATACAGCTGCCCGCAATATTCAAATAGGGCTTTCAAACGCAAGATAACAACGTGAAGCAACTTGGAAGAATGGGTATGAATCCGAAGTGTATGGGGGAATGCATGTAGGGCGATAGTGCGGGTTCGAATCCCAGGATATGCCTGAAAAACAAATAGGAGAATTGAAAAATTTATAACATCCTATGCTTTTTTGCCGTCAGATACGGATAGCGCCAGGCGTGACACAAACAAACAAACACAAAAACACACAAATACCAAATTAAAGCTGTGTGGACCCTTGCTAGCGCCAGACGTTACTGAAGTAACGTCTTCTGCATAGATACGGGAATGAAACTTCTTTTGTTTACGCAAAGGTGGCTGGGTAGTTTAAACATTATAAACAGCTTCAAACACATTCAGAAGGAAGAGACCTCGAGAACGGTCTCGTCCATAGCTTGAGATTTGTAGTTTTTATTTCCCTCGTAAGTTTCCTGCCTCCAAAAAAGTTGTACTTTATATGTGACAGTATATATCCATGGGGCACAATGTGTTCAATTCGCGTTCACGATTTGTTAAGCCATCTGACAAGAGTAAGGGATTTGTAGTGATGTCTCATGACAGTTATGTACAGAAAGCGAATGTCATGTTGGAGTGTCGGGATAGTTATGAGCGCTGTGACGTGAAGGTAGAAGACCTTGACAAACACACACGCAAGAAAGTCGCTGAGATCACCCAACACAAGCTACCACAACCACTCGCCAAAGCCATTCTCCCACATAACTCACGACTGAGCCAATTCTACGGTCTACCCAAAGACCACAAGCCAGGTCTTCCGCTGCGCCCAGTTGTGTCTACGTGCGGTTCGTCAATGGATAATGTCTCCTTGTTACTGGAACGTATCCTCAATCAGTTGTTGAAGTTCGTTCCAGCACATTTGACCAGTACAAAGGAGTGTATTGACGTGTTTAGTGATGTTGGTGTTCTTCCCGATGATTGTATCATTGCCTCACTGGATGTTGTCTCGTTGTATTCTAACATACCAGTTGTCGAGAGCATTGATGTCGTCATGGAGTTCTTGGAGTTGCATCGGAAGGAAGTAGATATGTTTCACCTGTCACTGTCGGATGTTCGGGAGCTCCTGTCAGTCGTGTTATCGTCCAACTACTTCGAATTTGACGGTGTCCAGTACAGGCAGCGGAAAGGCCTGGCAATGGGCAACCATCTCGCACCCCCAATGGCAATCATTTTCATGTCGAAGCGGGAGTCGGAGGCGATGGCTATGTTTCCGTGGAAGCCTCGCTTGTATCGTCGCTACATCGATGATTGTCTGGTAGTATGGTGTCATGGTCTTGTCAAGTTGATGAAGTTCGTGCAGTACTTGAGCAGCAGACACCCAGACATACGCTTCACAGTAGAACACACCCAGCAGAATGTCTCGCACACAGTGAGCTACCTCGACTTGTCTATTTCTGTGGCGAGTGGTGTTGTGCAGTGGGAGTTGTTCGTTAAGCCCAGTCATAGTGGTGTCCATCTATGGTACGAGTCTTCATTGCCATTGGGGTGAAGCGTTCGGTTGCCCAGGAGCAGTTTCGGCGCGCAAACAGCAACGCGTCAACCGACAGGGGGAGGTAGCGGGGAGAGAAGAAGATTGAGACATTACTACGAGACAACGACTACCCACACCACGCTATTCAAGCAGCCAAGCACCATGCAAGCACACCAAGACCATCATCCACCACACAACGACAACAATCGTACACATCCATCATCAAACTGCCCTTCGTCAATGGTCGTTTGGCACGTGATGTTCGTCGTACGGTGAGGTCTTTCAGTAAGGATGTGCGTGTGGTGTTCCAGTCCGGTCGGTCACTAAGGGATATGTTGGTATCGTCATCATTGTCCCGTCCTGATTGCCCGAAGGAAGTGTATAAGAAAAGAAGAGGGAGGGGGCGACCAGTTGAATGTCGTGCATGTGATGCTGGTATGGAGAGTGGTCAATGTTTGTCTCAGGATGTTATCTACTCGATGTTATGTGCACTTTGCGCCGAGGAGTACGTTGGCGAGACCGAGCGAACTGCAAGGAAGAGATTTGAGGAGCATTGCAGAGAGGCCAAAGCGCAAGCGCTGGAGACGCCATGGGGAGAACGCTATGCAGAACACCACCCACAACAAGCAATCACATCTACACCCATCACCAATGAATCAATTCTCGCCAAGCAGTCGTCCCTTGTGAATCGTCGTATACGTGAAGCAATGTTCATTCGTGATAAACGCCCAAGTGTTAACAGGGATCGTGGCTGGAGACTGCTGGACACAGTGTGAAATTATTGTGTTAGATGCTGGTGTTGTAAATTGTGGTAGACTGTGATGTTGCGAATATATTATGATAATATTTGATATTTGATGTTTATGTGTGCTAGCTGGTTATATGGTTATATAGTGCTTAGCAAATAGTTGTCGTCATCTTTGTCTTCACACCCATGGACCCAGCTACATTGCATGCTTTGCATTCTATTCTCCATGTCACTAACACATATTCACACTTACAGACACAGCTCTCCACTTGGCTTCTTCCCTTTCTACCAACACACTTCACCATTGCTGCTGGTAACCACACTTCTCGTGCTTTCCCTTCACATCGCACTAACACATATTCACACTTACAGACACAGCTCTCCACTGGTCTCTTTCGCTCCTTCCCTGTCTACCAACACACTTCACCATTGCTGCTACCCTCCACACATACAAAGATTTCCAGCACTACCGCACCACACAGCATATATACTCGTTTCAGTTTTTGTTAGCTTTAGTTGAATGGGTTTTTTTCACCCTGAAGATGGGCCATGCCCGAAAATTTGGTGCATTCCATTTATATCTAATATTATTTGTTTTTTGGGAAGTGAAGTGAACGTATGCAGCGAAGAGACCGTAGTTGGAGAGTTTGAAGTGAGGTACCCTATAATGTGTGAATGGCTGCAAAGGAGTCTGGGAGTGCTTAGAAGCAAATAGATATATGAGCCCCAGCCAGCAGAAACCTGAACATGTGTAATTTTTTCAAAAATTATTTTTTCGCTCGAAATTGATTCTACACTATTAATCATTCAAGTTATCAAGTTTGGTGACAATCTGATAAGCCAAAGCATGGAAAATAGAGTTTGAAGTCACACAGGTCAAGATTCGGTACAGTTGGCGCAGCATCCATGCCCAGTGACTCCATGCAAGTTGATCCTACAGTTTCTGATTGTGATGTGGAACAAGTACATGTAAGTAAATAGAATGAAAGTCAGGCTTGCCCTCTTGGTGCTGCAGGCATGAGTAGTTCAGAAGTGTGACGATATTCCGTATACACCACTACCTTCTTTACAACACCAGAGTGCAAAACGATGATTGGTGGCTGGCCTTCCAAATTGTGTTCAGGGACCTCTGTGCTGGCAGTTTGAGCATTGTCCCAAAGCTTGCCATACTGATAGATGTACTGACCAATACCACTGACATCCACTCCCTTGCACACTTTCACTCAGACCATGATTTCAGCATAATTGTATTTCGATGATATGAGCGAATACTCGCGTTTCGTAGCACGTGAAGATGTTGCCCCAAAGCGTTCAGCCGGTTTGACTTTTTAGGAATCCGCTTTCTCAGCACAGGCAGCAGCCAGCTTGGCGTCGTCTGGCAAGGTAGAGTACTAATAATACTACGCTCTGTTTCGCGCCGTGAGAAGCCCTCCATCAGTGTCTGCAACATCATTGTTGTCGATGTAGAAATACGGAACGCTCAGCGGGTTGACATTCAGCTTCTCCTCGCAGTCGCTATTACTCCAGCACTGACTATCGTCGCCACCAGCATCCAGTGTCGATTTTATGAGGGCTCTTCGTTGCTATGAATATGAGACTCGCCACTGCTGGACAAACTCAGCGAGATCGCCACCAAAGAAATAATTCCGATCGCGAACTAACTTTCAGCGCCGCTTCGTACAGGGAGTCTCACGCTGACAACTCTGAACCTAAGTCCTTGTCGCGCCACCTGTTGCCATCGCTGTGTCTAAACTCAATCTCCGTTTGACGAGCTCTCACCTAGCGCTAAAATCAATTGACCAGACTCATTTGAAGAAACTTGAAACTCCTTTGACAACGAAGACACCCACTCGATCGAAAAAGAATCTTCAAAAGCAAGCTCACTGCGCGTCCCAAACTTTGACGTCACATTTTGATGATTGATATCAAGTACACAAGTGCTGGTTTTCGCTGGCTGGGGCTCATATATTGAGATTGAGATTGAGTATTGATTGAGTATATAATTATATATATATACACAATCTGCGGACAGCATGCTGTTTCGTTCTTTTTGAACTCATCAGCGCAGCACAGTGTATATATATATACACATACATGTCGAACAAGTAACGTAGTTGTGTGATGTCTGTCGCCATCATCCTATTCATAGCTATATTAAAAATATTAGCTCCTCGTAGATTAATGCGATTAATAGTATAAGTGAAGCGGACATTACAAAATGATGAATGAGAATACAAGTATCTAAAATGGTTGTTCCTAATCGATTTTCTTGAGACTATTATCAGGGAAAATCGTCTCACAATAGAGGATATACGGAGAAACAAACTACTAATAGGTTATCGGATAGTGGTCCCTGATGATAGTCTCAAGAAAATCGATTAGGAACAACCATTTTAGATACATGTATTCTCATTCATCATTTTGCAATGTCCGCTTCACTTATACTATTAATCGCATTAATAAAGTTATTGTCTCCTCGTCGCCTTTTCCTCGTTGATTATTTGTATGTTCCTATTATTGTTCTTCACATTACATTCCCATCACATTCGTTTTATTTCTTTCTCCATCATCACTCTCTCAAAACTATGTTCAGGCCATCTCAATAAAACATTCATGAGATTGCGCTTGAGCTTGTTCTGTTTATTGCAATCCCAAAAGCCCTATGCAACAATTATATTCTTTTTTACGTGTATTTGGAAAAACACATCTGCAAAAAGGATAGAATTATGAACCAGTTGTACAAGAGAAAAGTGAGAAATAAAGGCGGGATAAAAATTGAGAGGAAAGGACGAGGTGAAGTGTGTGTATGCATATGAAGTACATCTCAGAATATTGGAAAAGAAGAAACAACATTACAAGTTACTTGATGGAGAACAATCTACATTATAAGTACTACTAATAACCCTGGAAAAGTGCTCGCGCGATTAATTGCAAATTTTGTTTGGGGGTAGGCATGGGAGTGTGCTGAGCCTAGCTATGAATGAGTTGTGTGCTCCACGGAGAACAACATGAGTTGAAGACATACATTAGAATAGATAGATTAGCGTTTGAGCAGCAAGGAAAAAAGTCACGGTTGAAAGTCTATCGCTGACTTCTTTGGGAGCACGCTCCCAGAGGAACATAATACAAAGATAGAATGAGAATAAAGGAGGCGTTGGAGAGTACGTTGTGGTTATAAACACCCTGCAATCGCCACGCAAAGTGGTCATTGGCTACCCCTGCCATGTGTTGCTTAGAGTAAAACTATCAAAAAATTAATACCAAACTGAGGTATTGCAAAAAACTGATTGAGAAAATCGTTGCGACGGGGTAGAAATGCAAGAATGTATACCGAGTTTAATTGTGCTGAGGCAAAACAACAGGCAAAGAACACAGAGAAGCACACCCAACTACAGAAAATGTTGAAAATGCGCGAAATCAGTAAGTTACTGCGGGCAAACAAATTCATACTGTGGTTGCGGGGCGGATTCTACCACACCATAAGCCTCACTTTTAGTGAGGGAACTCTCCGCAATGTCAGCGTCTTCATATGCTGTATTTTGTGTCTGACCTGGAACTTCGGTATTCACCGGTTTGCTTTGTATCTTCCGATAGACTATTATAGCAACCAACGTTGTTGCTATTATCCCGAAAAACATTCCGCCGACAACACCGCCGATCACAGTCCCAAGTGTGTATGACGTCTGTGCTTGATTCTCCGCTGTAGGTGAGAGAACACAGCACATTGTACGTTCCAACATCTACAGATACTGTACGTGCATTCTTACCTCAATTTTTGTTTGCCTGAACTCAGTTCTACGATCTATGGTTTTGCATTACAAAGTATATCTTTCGAAGTGAAAAACATGTCATGGGAACTGGATGGAAGATCTGAACATGCTGCGTTCATGTTTTGTGCTCGAATTGTAGAGAACACACCTAGCAAAATGGTGATGCATACACGCCTTCCGCCAACTTATTAACCTAAAATATTACTCTATATTTCCACGATGGCCCAAGGCCAATAAGGAAGATAATATTATCACGATCGGTTTCTCGGGATGTTCACCGATATCTGACAACCACACACAATGTGGCAGTGGATGCGCTTTGCCTGATGTTGAATGTCCCCGGCTGCCTCTGTGTTTTGACTTACCGCATAGTTAAGGCCCTGCTAAAGGGTCGGATAATGCACCTGTCTCAATGCCCCCAAAGGAAGGTACACCCTCCAACCTTACCATGCGATACTTCCATCCGTGCCTATAATAAGGTCATTCGATGGCAACAAAAT